CAATAGTTAACAAGATATTAATTACTAAAAATTGTCGAAAATTAGTCTTCAATAATTTTTTACTCAAATACTATTAACTTTACAGAAAAACTGTTAGAGACAAAAATTGTTTATTTTCTTCTCATAAGGATCTGAGAATTTTTTCAAAATTTTTTAATACCGTATTTTCTCATGTTGGTAAAAATAAGAAAATGCAGTACTAAAAAGTTAATAAAAAATTCTCAGATCCTTATGAGAAGAAAATAAACAATTTTTGTCTCTAACAGTTTTTCTGTAAAGTTAATAGTATTTGAGTAAAAAATTATTGAAGACTAATTTTCGACAATTTTTAGTAATTAATATCTTGTTAACTATTGCGAAAATTATAAAATGGTAAAGGACTTTGCTTCTCAGTTTAGTTCTGCCCCTATGCGAAAAATTTTTCATTACTTTCCAAATACTCTGTATATAGGTTACTAGAAAATTGAACTCTTGTTTCCTCAGTTTTTAAAGGACTTGCTCGCAAAAATATTATATATATTTTTAAGTACATTTTAAAAAAGGATAGGCCAGTATTTCGTTCAACAGCTTAATTTATTCGACAATTGTTAATTTCATACTGGCATATTCTCGATACATCGTTGTGTATGATCGCAGTTACAGAGATAGCTAACTTTGCCATCTGTGTAACATCATCATCTTTCCGATATACATAAAATTATGTATGGTATTTTTATATATAATGGTGGTATTTATCAATATGGTGCATTCCCTCCTCTTCTCCAAAACTAATTTATTATTGAAAATTAAGAAACAATAATTACAGATGACGTAAACAAATACATATTACGAATGAATCTATGACAAATAATCGAAACTACATGTGAAATAAAAATTCCATAAGCATTCGCGATACTTTATAACTACAAAGTTTCAGTGTTTTTTTTTAACTTACGTTTCTACATAACGCCAGGCATCCAGCAGTATCCAGAACTTCTTGAAGACGAAACCCATGAATAGTAATTATACAAGAAAATAAGAAAAATAGCATTCCGTCGACTTTGCCCAAAAATCACCCATTTAAAATTTTTATTACTATATATTAACTGATGATACTTGTGGATTTTGGGGATAAAGATAGAAAAAGCACTTGTCTCTTTCTTTTCAATTTATATATGCGTAAGATATTTATTAGAGATGACACGCACACACAAATGTAAATAAGTACTTTTATATGATATTAATTGTTGCTATTCTACGAGATTGCATCTAAAATATCACACAGTAAAATGCTTTATTTTTAAAACATGCACGTTTTAACTACAGTAAAATATAAAATCACGTTTTATTTCAATATGCAAACGGCAAGTATTCAAATTATAAATTGACACACAATTCATGATTATTAATAGCATTAAACTGAAGTAGCTGTCAAACTTAAGAACGTGGAACGTGACACAAATGAATTCACATTTGAAGACGCTCGAGTATTATTTCAACGTCTATATTATGGCGACTCCCCTACCCAGTGTGTACGATTATCTTGTATGCTAATAAAAGGCGGGATCTGCACTCCCACTTTTTCCCTGTATATACTTGGTATATTTGTCATTTTTACAAAAGAGATATCAGTTTAATTTTAAATAATAATTCAGACAAAATTTTTAATTTTTAATAAATTTGAAAAATTACATTTAAAAAGGTGTATATGCTGATGCAGTTCATGTGTATCAAATTAATAAAATAAACTGTTTGAAGCATTGACCTTGAAGTGAGTTAAAATTTGCGATTGTATTTCAATTTTCTTTAATTTAAGTGTTCAACTTGAAATAAAAGATAATCTTGAACGACATGAAAAATGTATTGTTCCAAATATACCTATATAACATCATAAAGCAATAATTAAAACTGATTAATGAGTTTGCAACATTGTTTACACCAGTTTACACCGCAAATATTCCATCACATATTGCTTTAAAAAAATCACATATATTTACGTAACATTATTTTTGATAAAAATGTCTTATTTGTATTTTGATATTTAAAAAGGGGATCGATTTATATATAAAAAAAGATAACATTGTAAATTAAAGTTTATTTCCTAGAAATGTTTATATGAGAAAAAAATTGTATAATTTTTATCTATTATGCGATAGGCAATGAAATGGTCTGACATTTTCAAGCTGTAAAATAACATATTGGATACTTTATTGGATTAAATATGACAGAACATACAAAATCGCAATTGATGCAATAATATAGGTTAGGTTAGTTTACATTAAGCAGACTTCGCATGACACAGTTCTCCATTCCTCATTTCGTGTAATTCGCATTTATGTAGTGGAAGAGGAATACTAAGAAAAATAGCGCAACTCCTAGGATGTTGCAGAATATTGCCAATTGTACATCGGTAATCATCTAAAACGCAAATCCATTTCAGATAATGTTTCAAGTTATATCTATACTTTTGTGATCATATCGTAATATCTGATCGTTTTCATCAAATAATATAATTTCATACCAATTGAAAGCATCAAACATAATTACCTTAAAGCTAATATAGTCGCTGCTCTTTACTATCTTTGTAAGATTTTCACAGATTTTCAATAAGAAGATGACGTATACAAAGATAACGTAAAGGTACGTACATCCAACGTCTCCAAGCGAGCGGATCGGCTACGACGATGTCTCTGAGTGACGAGTGTGGATGTAGGTATGTATGTATGTACATACTACGCGATCCAATTCCGATCAGACTATTGGTAATTGTTGTTGGTTGGCTTGTCACAACACAACAAATCAATGATATATATGCAAATAATACATTTACATACTAATTGTACTTTTGAATCATAAAATACACAAATTTCTGTTGTATAAGAAAGAAATGCAGACCTTTATACAAAGTATGGTTCGAATCTGTACTAACAATAGGTGAGATTTCAGTCTTGGATAAAAAGGGTTCGAGTCTCTGCTAAGTCATGTTTCAATTTTCAAGTTATTTCATTTTATTAATAAGATTAAAAAAAAAATATGCCGTTTACACAATAAAAATTGTCTATATTAATTTTCTTGTAATGGCTACGTTTATACCGTGCATTTAGACCGCGGCCTATACAATAGATGTCCTTGTTTATCCTGTATATTAAACAAAGACATCTATCGTATAGGTCGCGGACTAAGCGCACGGTGTAAACTTAGCCAATATGTATGTATAACTTTTAGAAATTTTATAATAATTTTGGTTGTCGCTTTAAAGCTGAAAGATCTAATATTCTACTAGGACAAGTGATTCCAGATGTTTGTACAAAAGGGAATCGACGTAGGGCAGGATTATTATTTGTAGCCGCCAGTTTAAAATCATATTTAGATGAGACTTTGTCACATGTTTGATCAGTATCTGAAAAATAAATAAATATAAATTAATGTTACACAAGTATTACTGATAATAATAGCATGCGCAAGACAAATTTATACAAATAATTGGATTACTTTGACACACGAACTTTGTTGCATAATTATGTTTAAGTTATTATTTTATACTATTTCATCGCTCGATACTTACTCTCTGCTTGAACATTATTCTTTCCTGGGAGAAGTTGATATCTTTCTAAATAACGCATTGTAGCTAACGACATATTTGTTCCTTGCATATTGCTGAGCATGAGGTGTTTCAATGAAGATGATTCTTGTTTATGCCACGCTATATCTGTCAGTTGCTCATCACTTAAATATTTTAATGCCAGCGCCTTCATATGCATACTTGTATTTGTTTCATTTACAGCACTAGTGGCATGCGTCATATTTGCTTGATGATCCAAACGGGGATAAAAAGATGAATCAAAGTCTAACCTTGAAAAAATCAATCATGATTTAGCCCTTAGTATCATCATCATCATTATTATATACATAGTAATATAACCAGTAAGTAAATGGAGAAAAAAAACAGTCAAAACTTTTTCATGTATCGCAAAGTAACAATATGTCCTATACATACAGAGTTTATCGTATAGCAGTTGACTCTATATTTATATTATTTTCACCTTAAAGGCAACTTACAAAATTATTTATCTTTCAAATTTTACTTAAAAATAATTCACAGATTTAAATGCACAAGTTTAATTACATTTAAATGAAAATTAATGTAGAGATACATACGTCTTGTTACCATTGGATTCTCTGTGCTCATTATTTTCAGTTAGACTGATCCCAAGTTTCCGAAGTTGTTCCAAAGTGGCTGCTTTAACAGTGTTCAATGCTGATCTAGTTTCTCTATCATTTTCTTGTTCAACATTACATGCTGTTTTAATGTGATTCAGATCTTGATCGCTTATAACACCAGAATTTTGTAAAATTTCATTAACTTGCCCCAAAACATTGTTGTAAAAAGTCCAACCTATTTTCGAAGTATGCCTTAACTTGTCACTCTCATCATCACTCGCATACTCCTGCATCTCAACGTGAATACTTGGTTCTGGAGTTGGTGGAGGTCTTTCCAGTATTTTAAGATCACCTCCACTCAGAATCATGCTATCATCACCTATATCTTTAATTTGTCTGACATTAGCACTGCACGCGTATTCTTTATTTCTATGGTTGTGATAGTAATCTGTTGCTGGTAAATGGATGTTATGCAAGGAATGTTGATTAATATTTGTTTTGTAGGCACGCTTTTTCCCATCTATCGTAACATAATCGTTTGTTTGCTTGACAAGCGCTTCACTGCAATTTGCACTCTCTCTTCCAATAGGACTACTATCTACATTCATAGATGTATTTGATGTTTTCTTTGCATTTGACACTCGTTCATATACATTACTATTTTTTCCTATATACGCTCCTTTGTGCGTTCCCTCTTGATTTAAATCAGTAGAAAGATGTTGGTGTAATTTTGAGGATTCTTTTACGGAAGAACTCGCGTTGAAATTACTACTTTGCTGTTGGCTAGAGGATAAATAACTTTCAGAATCCTCGACTATGTTCTCCAATTGCGCTGGTCCAGGCTTATGTGTAAATGTATTCTTATATCTATTAACAGGCTCTGTTGTATCATGTATATTTATAGTATTTGTCCTATTAATACTGTTACTTTCTCTGTGAGCTTCTGTTTTCTCACATATTTCAGAGTCTATTGGAAAAGGGCTATTTTGTACAGTAAACTCAAAACTTGTCATAACACCGATCGAAACCTTTTGTTCCATAAAAGCCTTTTTTGATTGTTGTTCTAACAATGCTGTTTCTAACTTATTATTTTCACTAAAGTTTTCTAGATCTTGCCTCTCTATAACAGATGTATTCTGTGAGGCTACGTTTTTCTTTATATTTTGATTTTGAGATTGTACAAGAGAAGAAGCAAGAGCTGGATCATAACAATTTATTGGATATCTAAATACTTGATTTGCAAGAGGTTGTGAACATAAGCATGTCGATTTGTTCCTGAAATTTTCTTCCTGCATTCTTACTAGCCTATCTATCTGGAGTTGTAAATTTTTTATCTGTTGATTTTGACTATTTACAAGCTGCAATAAGGTTTTTACTGTTTCATTATTGTCTATATTGTAATTTGAGTAGTTAGGTACATGAAATTGCTGACATTCAGCGTGTGGAATCTGAAAATATTCAGGTTTTTTCAATGTACTTGGAATAGTATTAGATGTTCTCATAGTATGATCAGTTACGTTCAGCATTGCTCTTTGTAAAGAATCAGAAGATGAGGCTTTCTTGTCTGAAGATAATAAATCATTCTGACTTTTGAGATGATAGGAATCTCCTATATCAGAACATATAAATTTTACGCTTTTCTCATATATTCTTTCATCTTTATTAACATTTTGCAACATTTCTTGCTTATCGTTAATTTTTGTTTGCTCTTGTAGCTTTTTTTGTATAGAAGCATTTTGTAAACCTGATGGCACAGCATAATCATAGCTATAAGTGTTTTTGTATAATGGTGAAATATGTATTGTGCTTGTAGAATTAGTCTCTCTAGAATAATTCTGTTCCTTCCATGTGGCGTAAGAGTCAGAACTGTGTGAAATTGGCGATGTAGGGTTACTAACTTTCACAGTATTGTCAGAGATTTGTATAGGTTTTACTGATATCGCTGGCAATGAATTGGTAGTATCGGTATTCCTATCCTTTGGATTTCTCGCTGTTGGTTTTTCGAAGATTAAAGATATTTCTGGCACAGTCGGCACTGCAAAGCACTGTAAATTGTCTAAATTATTTCTCTAATATTTTTATATCATATGTGTACATATAGTTACATAAAATAAACAAGGTGACAATACGATTTGAAAAAGCAACTTACATCGTGTTTGGTTATAGGTTTCGGTATAACTCTTGGCTCAAATTCCTCTTCATCGTAAAGCTGATACATGTTCAAAAAGTTCAATATTATCGTAACGTTTATTCTAACGACATTATTATCGTAATGTTTAAAGTTATGTCTTTTACGATATTTTTACGATAACAACGGAGACGATAATTTATATGAAATATATATACTGCATTCTTCGTAATGGCTCCTGCACACTGGACGCGGAAACGCTTGCCGCGCGGCAAAATGCAACGCGGTAACCAATGAACGTGTTGGGAGCTGTAAGCTTATTGGTTACCGCG